AAGAGCATAGCCTGGATGACCCCTGAATTACTTCTGTTGTTGTTGTTGTTATGTGCCATCAAGTCTGACCGACTGATAGCAACCCCTCCTTGGGTTTCCGAGGCAGTATCACTACAGCAGTAGATTGCCCAACCTTCCTTCTGAGGAGTGGCTGGTGGGTTTGAACTGCCAACCTTCTGGTTAGCAGTCAAATGCCTTAGGCACTGTCAAGTTGTCTCCGACTCATAGTGACCCTATGCACAGCAGAACAAAACACTGCCTGGTCCTGTGGCAGCTCCATGATTGTTGCCATACTTGAGCCCATCGCCACTACCACCATGTCAATCCATCTTGTTGAGGGCATTCCCTTCTGTCGTCGACCCTCCACCTTACCAAGCATGACATTCTTCTCTAGGGAATGGTCCCTTCTGACAACATGACCAAAGTATGTGAGATTAAGTCTGGCCATTCTTTCCTCCAAGGAGCATTCCAGCTGCACTTCCTCCAGGACAGACCTGTTACTTCTAGGCCCTAAAATTATGAATTTCAGTTGTTTAAATTCACTCGGTTTGTGTTGTTTTGTTACAGCAGCTGTAGGGAACTCATACACTCTTTTTTACCCAGCCTTAGACTCTAATCACTTCCTCACAACACTGTTTCTCCCTGCATTGCATTTATCTGACAAAGGCCCCATCCACATTGTAGCATGTGGCAAGACTTAATTTCTCCCACTGGCTCAGTAATATTCCGTTGCATGTATATACCACATTTTGTTCATCCATTCATCTGTTTATGGACATTTAGATTATTTTCCCCTTTTGGCTAATGTGGATAGTGCTGCAATGAACACTGGTATACAAGTCTCTGTTGAGTCTTGGCTTTCAAGTATATATAGCAGAGTGGAACTGCTAAATCATACAGTAGTTCTATTTTTAGTTTTTTAAGGGACCTCCATACTATTTTCTATAATGGCTGTACCATTTTGCATTTTCACCAGCAATAACTAAGAATTCTAATTTTCCCACATCCTCGCCAACATTGCTATATATATATGTATTTTTTAATCTTAGCCATCCTGTTGTTGTTGTTGTTGGGAGTGAAATGGTATCTTCTTGTGGTTTTGTTTTGCCTGCCTGTGATGGCAAATGATGTTGAGTGTCTTTTCTTGTGCTTGGTGGCCATTTGAATGTCCTCTTCGGTAAAATGTCTGTTCAAGTCCTTTGCCTATTTTGTGATTAAGTTGTCTTTTTGTTGTTAAGTTGTCAACGTTTTATAATTTTGGTTATTCTTATTGGATATATATTTTTCCAAGACATTCTTCCAGTTGTTAGCTTGTCCATTTACTTTTTTTGTAAAGTCTTTTGATGAACAAGTGTTTTTAATATTTATGAGGTCTTATTTATTTTGTCTTTTGCTGTTTGTGCATTTTATTATTATATTAGGTAATCCATTTTTAACGGCTAAGTCCAACAGCATTCCCCCTGCATTTTCTTCTACGAATTTTATAGTTTTAGATCGCACACTTAATCCATTTTGAATTGATTTTTGTGTGTTGTGTATGGCATGGATACTGTTTTATTTTTCTGCATGTGGAAATCCAATTTTCCCAAACTGTTTATTGAAGAAACTTTTTCCCCATCGAATGCAATTAACAGTCTTGTCAAAAATCAGTTGACTATAGATGTATGGGTTTAACTTTTGTTTTTTGTTATTGTTAAACTTTGAGTTTACAAATAGAAATCAATACTTCATACTAAATAAGTGTGGATAGCACAAATTCAAAATTTCATTTTCTGTTGAAGTTCATGATTTCTCTTTGAGGGTCTTCCATGATTTTGCTTAACTCTTCTTATCTTAATTAAATCTAATTACTTTTACAGCATTTAGTTATTATCATCATGTGTCTGAGAGTCGTTGTAAGACCAAACATGAATTTAATCAACATGTTCCATACAGTATCCAGAAAATACTGTATTTAATCTCATTTTTTCCAAAGCATCATTACTAATACCACAATTGAAGTCACATAACCTAGAAACAAATTCAAACAATGAGTCATGCATGTTACACAGAATATTCCTGGATTTTCATCCAAACTTCTTTTCTTTTTTTTTTGAGTTTTTATCTTTAAAAATTTTTATTGTGATTTGGGTGCAAATTTACTAAGCAGATTCATTTTACTCTCAAGAATTCATGCACATTTGGTTTTCCACCCCAATTACAGTCTCCAACCATTAAAAAAGAAAAAAGCTCTCCTCCTAACTCCTCCCTGTGACTACACCCTCCCTGTGATCATATCTATGTATTCTTGTCTGTCCAACTTTCCCTCTATGCAAATACTGCTCTTCTGATGTCTCAGGGTTGCTTGATCTCAGTGGTGCATCTGTTAGTGGTAGGTGTTCTGCTTGTAGGTCTTTCTACTATTGGGCTGAAAGCTAATCCATGGAAACGAGTCTAGTTCCAGGCCCAAAGGATAGCCCAGGGCCACAGTCTCAGGGGTATGACCAGTCTCTATCTGACCAGTAATTTTGGTCATTTTTGTGTTTTTGAATTTTGTTCCACATTTTTCCTCCCACTCCAGAATCTCCAATTTTGATCCCTTTGTGGGTGGTTAGCATTGGTAGCCAGGCACCATCTTGTTCTTTTGATCTCAGAGTCATGATGGCTGAGGTCCCCATCCTTGGACTGCTTCCAAATGACTGATTTTCTTCACTCTTCTTTGCTTCTGATGAGGGGAGACCCATAGTTGCGTCTTAGGTGGCCACTCGAAAGCCCCAGTTGCTACTTAACAAAGTAGGAAGTAGAACAAGATTTGTATGTACTATTTTGTGCCAAATGAGCATGATGTCCCCCAAGACTATGGTCCCAAGCCCCCAGCCCTGGTGACTCCCTCCCTCAAGGTGTTCATTCCTCTATCTCTGAGAAGCTACTCCAACCTGGTTCCCTGAGAAGCTACTCCAGCCTGGTTCCTTTAGAACAGCTCCATAGGTTTTATTTTTTTTTTTAAATGTGATTTGGGTGAAAGTTTACAGAGCAAATTCACTTTCCATACAGCAGTTCACATACACTTCGTCTCATGACATTGACTACAATTTACCACAATGCAACAGCTCCCCTCCCACTTCCTCCCCATAGTTACCTCTTCCCTGTGTCCTTCCCTCCATGCACTCCTGCCCCCTGAGCTATGTCCCTGTGCATATATAGGCCTTCTATTCTCCCATGATTGTTTTCTCCAAGAAGTGTGTCTACCTAGTGTAAATGTTCACCTCATATGCCTGTCTTTTGTTTGGCTGGAAGCCACAGGACTGGGTTTAATTCCAGACCTGAAGGACTGCTAGGGGCCTTAGTCTCAATAGTTCCATCAGGCTCTACCAGAACAGCAAACCTTGTCCCTTTTTCTTTTCCCAAATGATTTTGAGTTTTGTTCCACATTGTTCTCCCTCTCTATCCAGGATCTCCTACATAGATCCTCCTCCGAGTGGTTGACAGTGGTAGCCAGGCACCATCTAGTTCTGGTCTCATAGTTGTATAGGCTATGGATCACATAGTGTACCAGTCACCTGGACTAATTGTTTCCATGGATCTTTGGTTTTCTTCATTCTTCTTTGTTCTGGATGAGGAGAGACCCATTGTTGTACCTAGACAGCTGCTGGCAAGCTTGCTCCATAGGGTTTTAAAGGCCTTACTTCTGAGGTATCTCTGGGTGGGTCTGAACCATTAACTTTTCAGTTAGTAGTCAAGTGCTTAACTTTTCTTTACCCAAGTTTAACTTAAGTATTGATAAATAAATTTAAAAACCAGAAGATAGCCTGTATCATGTGCATGCAAACAAAATTGAGTGCAATGAGAATCTATTGTATGACCAAGTACTATGTCTTTTGCAGCTACAGGTAGAAAATGGTGAAAGTCAAGCCCAGCTACCTGAGGAAGTTGAGAAACAAAAACAAGAGTTCATTTCATCACCCACACTTTCCTGAATGGCTAAGTGTGTGCCCAGAACTTTGTTAACTGATATAGCAAAAGGTCAAGCCTTCACTCTTCCAGATCAAAACCTTATTTCCCCATAAACACTTTTTCAAAGCATTATCTCCAGACCAACATCTGGGTCACCTGAGAAATTTATGAATATGGATCTCCATGTCCTACCCTAGATTCAAGGAATCCAGCTTTGAGTCTGTGAAGCCGCATTTTGACAAGCACCCATCTATCCCATCTTCTCCCATCTGTGAGTCCCTACTTGAGAGCTATGTGCTGCCCTCTATGCACCTATTCTTCAACCATGAGAAAGAAGGTCATGCTTGCCTGATTTGCAAAGCCAAGTACATATTATATACACAGAGAAGTCCAGCATATGTGGAAAAGTACTCTGTATCGCACTTATGATCCATTTAGTATGTCATTGAAGACCTGGCATGTCATTTAGCTAAAAATCACATAAAAATGCCTTAACATACACCCAAAAGTTTTCCCCACATAGTGTAATTTCTTCTTCATTAGTCAAATCAGCACTTGTTGGCTGTGGAATGAAATGCAAACTTGAAACTGACATTCATTAATGAGAAAGACAACACTTAAGTTTTCAAGTATAAAGATTAACTTTGAATGGTACAAAGTCTAATTTGACAATGTTTTTTTCCCCCAAAATCAGCCACTAAGAACTCAGAGGAAGGCAAGAGCCCTGCAGAAATTAAGTCCTACAACCTGTGAAGAAAGTGCCCAAGACACCGGAAGACAGCAAAGCAAAGAGAGCACTGTTTATGTGGGTAAACATGCCAACTGTGCTTCTTCTTGCAGAGTCCTTCCACAAGGACACTCTTCATGGCTTCATATCACAGTTCCAATGAGCTTTATAGTTCCAAGAAGCTACTTTGAATGAGCCCAAAAGTAAGAGACCCTGTCCAAAATATAGATGTTCTCATAGTATGAAGGCCATTCTGTAAGTTGCATACATACTGGCACCTATGGGAGACAAAGCTTCCTTCCTCTTCAGTAAGAGATTATCACACCCAACACTGCTTTGGCTAACTCTTCTTCCTCTGTTCCCTCGTGTGTGCAGCAATTGAACCAGCGATTTCTGCATTCTTCTTGTACTGGCCAAAATAATCTAAAAAACTCACCAATTGGTCCAATCAAGTACATTATTATTGTATGATCCACTATATAATCTTCATCTTCATCCTTGGGGCCAGGACTGTAATACACTCTGTAAGCTCTGGCCACTTGAGCAATCTCTTCTTTTGGACCAGTCAAGCCAACTAGTTTGGGAGAAAATTTGCCATCAAGTTGATTCGAGTCATAGAGGCCCCTCCTTGGGTTTCTGAGGCAGTATCTATGGAAGTAAAAGCTTGCAAGTGGCCATCTAAGATGCAACTATTGGTCTCTCCTCATCTTTCACATAGTTTGCAATGGCTTCTTTGGTGTCCCTTTCTGGGTCAATAGTGATGAAAAGTGGAGTTAAATTTGGCAGTGATGGAATACTTCATCCAAATTTCTTGCTTTTATATGTTTTATTTACCAGTCAAATTAATTTCATTATCATAGGCTGCTTTTGACAATCTTTTACATGAAAGCCTACAATTGCAAATGTTTTTCAATTCTTCACTTAAGTCAAAATCTGAACTTTCAAGCAGATGTAAAGCCAATGAAATATTCATTTATTTAGACTTGTTTTTCTTTTTCAGATAGTGGAATGATATCTGTAATAGAGGTTAGTTGCTTGACATGTGTTCTGACCATGATACATTCTAATTAAGTTGAGCAATTATTTCATTTTTAAAAATTTATATATTATTGCATCTCTCACTCTATTACACATTAAATTAGTCATATTAGTTTGAATTTACCATCCAAAGAAAAAAACTTTTCATTAAGTAGATTCCAATTCATGGTGATCCAACATATTACATAGTAGAACTGCACCGTGAGATTGCTTAAAAAGAAAAAATCCAAACTCACTTCCATTGAGTCAGTTCTGACTCATAGTGATCCCATTGGGTTTCCAAGGCTGAAAATCTTTACGGAAATAGATTGCCCCATCTTCCTTCCGTGGAGCAGCTAGTGGGTTTGAACTGCTGGTCTCCTGATTTCTCTTTGACGATCTTCTGTAATTTGGCTTAACTCTTCTTATCTTAATTAAATCTAATTACTTTTACAGCATTTAGTAGTTATTCTAAGTATTGGTTAGTAGCCAAATGTCTTATCCACTACTCATGTTCTTCTTTCTTTATCTCTAGTATGAATTCCAAGCTATTTGTCATAATTTATTATTTTTTTCTCTAGTCAACTGTTTAACCTGTTGATTGAAACTTTTTAATATTTCAGGTAGTATAGATTTCATGTGTAGAATTTCTATATGCTCCTTTTCAAATAGATTTATTCTTTTTCCTCCATAATACCCTGTTTCTGCCTTACAGATTGTATTTCTTTCTTTACCTCTTCCAACATTTTAAACATAATTTTTAAAAGATTCTTTCATATCCTTTTATTAACTCCAGTTTTTAGATGGGAGTTATTTCTTTTGTGATTCTTCCTCATGGTGATTCATTTCCTGTATGATGTTAATTTTTACCTATGAGCTCATCTGTAGTGGGTGCTGTTTAGATAAATTACAGGGAGAGCTGGCCAGCTTCCTGTGGTTTCTGAGGACTAGTTGCCCTGTTGGAGTCCTCTAGTATCTGTTTCACAGAGGGAACGACTCCTTGGCTTTATAACTGGGAGTTCTTATACAGGCTAGTGGCCACACTTTTATCCTGTATGAACGTCAAAACCTCAGCTCCCAACTCCTAAACCTCATGCCTAATTCTCATATCTTTCTTAATCTTTAAGCTTTACCCTTGCACGTTATTTTGGCTTTTAGTTTACTTTTCCTTTCTGACCCTTATTTTTCTTTTTTTATTATTCAAGAAATGTTTATTGATAATGTATGAATGTTTCTGACACAACACTAAGCATTAAATGATTAGCAATGAAGTAATACCTTTGCACTAAAGAATTTTACATTCAAGAGATTTCTCTTTCTCCATTTATGCTCTAAATGTACTAAAAATAATTTGCTATTTTGTCAGTATTTCTATGTGTTTGGAGAGTGTATGTAGATACATCTGCAGGTGGAAGTGTCTTGCTGCAGCAGCTCCATCTTCCATAAAGGGGAGAAGCTCCCAATCTTCCATCTTAGATCATCCCTTCTGTGCTCCCTCAAAGAAGTGAGAGGATGTTAATAATTGTAGCATATCTTGAAGACTAGGAAAATATTTCTAGCCTCATTTAACCTGAGAAGTAGCTGAGTATCATTAACTATTATGAACGTGGAATCAAGAGCTAAATGCCTAGACTCCAAACTCAGCTCAACCACTTATTAGTTGTATGACATTGGGCAAAAATCCCCCTTGGTACTTCAGTTTCCTCATCTGATTGCTTTTATGCTTATTGACAGGATGCAATGAATAGAGTGCTTAGAACAGTAGCTGCATATTATAAGTACTTAACTATTGGTAGCTGCAACATAAACATCACTGACTCAGTGCTAAACACAAAGCATTATGACTAGAGTTTTAATAGATATTTATTGTTAACATTTTCCCAATGTTTCAACAAATGGTAGCAGCACTAGAGGTGCTTACTTGTTTTTGCCAAGAAATTTGAAAGACATCTATCTGGCCAACTGACTGGAAGAGATCAATACTTGTGCCCATTTCAAAGAAAGGTGATTCAACAGAATATAGAAATTATCAAACTATATTATATGCAAGTAAAATTTTGCTGAAGATAATTCAGAAATGATTGCATCAGTATATTGACAAGAAACTTTCAGATATTCAGACTGGATTCAGAAGAGCACATGGAATAAGGGATATTATTGCTGAGGTCAAATAGATCCTTGCTAAAATAAAGAATATCAGAAAGATGTTTACCTGTGTTTTATTCATTGGGCAAAGGCATTCGACTGTGTGGATCATAACAAATTATGGGTAACATCATGAAAAATAGGAATTCCAGAACATTTAATTAGGTTTATGAGAAACCTGTACATAGACCAAGAGGCTGTTGTTCGAACAGAAAAAAGAGATACTGCATGGTTTAAAGTCAGAGTTGCTTCCTTTCACCATTCTTATTCAATCTGTATGCTGAGCAAGTAATATGAGAAACTAGACTATATGCAGAAGAATGCGGCATCAGGATTGGAGGAAGACTTATTAACAACCTGTGGTATGCAGACAATACAACCTTACTTGCTGAAAGTGAGGATGACTTGAACCACTTACTGAAGAAGATCAAAGACCATATTCTTCCGTAGGGATAATACCTCAACATAAAGAAAACAAAAATCCTCACAATTGAACCAACAAGCAACATCACAGTAAATGGAGAAAAGATTGAAGTTGTCAGGGATTTCATTCTACTTGGATCCACAATCAACATCCATGGAAGCAGCAGTCAAGAAATCAAATGTTGGCTTCTGGTAAGATGGCGGAATAGGGAGAAAGACCGCACAGACCCTCTTCAACAAAGAAAAGGGGAACCAATTAACAAAGACACAGAAGACAATCCTGGACCCCTGAGCCTTGAAGGGAAGGATATAGAAGTGGTCTAAACCCCAACTAGCAGAAGAATTTGCATGAAAATACCAAAAAAGGAGACACGGAGCGGCGGTCTGGCAGTGATACTGAGTAAGCCTGACAGCATGGCACAGACAGCTTGGAGAGTGCTGAGTGGTGGTAGGACCTAAGAATTAACCTAAAAATCAGCCCTGCTAGCCAGGGACTGCATGCAGGACTACTGTGGTGGCTGGGGAATAAAACGTGAAGCACCAGTGAAGAGAAAGGTGGGCTGAGCTGTGGACTTTTGCCTGTCTGGAGGGTGCCACCATTTTGAATGTTTACAAGTGGCTTGACCATTTTGGATACTTAAAGAGACAGCGCTTTCTGAGATGCCAGGGATTTAAGAACAAGTTCTGCTTGCCAGTAACCCCAAGGACACTCTGGACCTGGACGACTGAAAAGGTGTGACATTCCCCTTGTTATTCTTATACCCCACACCCCTTGGTGAATGGAGGTGTGACCATCCCCCACTCTCACCCACCTTCTGGGCCTGCAGGAACTCCATCCCAGTCTGTGCTCAGGCAGAGAATGGGTGCCCTGCCCTACCCTCCCCCGATTTTTTTCTTTTTCTTTTTTTTTTTTTCTGGTTGTTAGTTTGCTTGCTTTTGTCTGTTTTAAAACTACCATTATTATCAATACATTTGTCCTTTTTACTATTATTCTTTATTCTTCCCCTCCCATGTCCTAGTTTTCAGCTCTTTTTTTCCCCTGCTCATGGTTGCAATTTTTTTTTTCTTTTTTTTCTCATGGTTAACCCTGTTCCTTGTTTTTCTTTTTGCATTTTTCCCATTTTTTCTTCATTATTCTCCTTCTCTACCTTTTTTCTCTTACTACCCTATACCCAGATATTGCAGGTTTTCTTGTTTTTTTTTTTTCTTCTTTTTCCCTTTTTTCTTTTTTATGGTTACTGTTCTTGTGTGATTAAATGGTACATTTTTTTGTCCATGTGCTTTTAGCTTTTTGATGGTTATTCAGTTGTAATTTTTGTCCAGTTGAGTGGGAGACAGCAACAGTCCCCATAAGATATAACTACACCCACACCCCCTGCAACTTTACTTACTGACTGAGAGCCACCACCTCCTTCTCCATCAATGAGTCAACGATAAAAAAACCACCAAGAAGAACCTGAATCACCCTTGGCTGCTCTTCACAAACAGTTAAAAGAGATCTAAATACAACAATGTCACGATGTCTTGGAGACAACAGACCATCACAGTCCACACAAAGAAGCAAGATAAAGTGGTAGAAACAAGGGAACAGGGTACAAATCCAGAACACATCCCGAGGAAGAAGCAGCATTGAAACTCTCTGATAAGGAATTCAAAAGATTGATAGTTAGGTATCTTCAAATGGTTGAAAGACAGACCAAAGAAAACACAGAAAAAACCCTAGAAGAATTTTGGAAGAAAATACAAGAACAAAATGACAAAATAAATGAAAAATTAGAAATGACTCTAAATCTACAGATAGAAATCCAGAAGATTAA